AGCCACATTCCCAGCCCCATTTTGTATTTTCTTTAAAGACAGGGTCTCACTGAGTTGCTTTTCACCTTGCTTTTGCTGAGGCTGGCTTTGAACTCTCAAGCCTCCTGCACCTCAGCAATTCAGCAATACTATAAGCAACCTATCTCAAAAATTGGTTTAAAAAAGGGGATACAGGGCTGGGATTGTGGCTCAGTGGTAGAGCGCTCGCCTAGCTCGGGCGGGACCTGGATTCGATCCTCAGCACCACATAAAAATAAAATAAAAATAAAAGATGTTGTGTCCACTGAAAACTAAAAATAAATATTTAAAAAAATTCTCTCTATATTAAAAAAAAAAAGGTAGACAGAGTCAATCCCTGGTACCAAAAGAGTCAAAGGACAGTGAAAATGTGGCAGAGTCAATGGATTAGGGTTAGGTATTAGAGGGAGTGAGCTGGAGAGATAGGTAGTAATCAATGGGAAGCATGAAACTAAGATAATCAAAAGGTTGAAGTTATTAGTAATAGGAACCTCTATGCAGAAAGTAGGAGACTGGAGCCATAGTCCAGGCAATAGATGAGCAGTGCCTCATATGGGTAGAAGAAGGGTAGACAAAGAAGCAGAAAGACTCATCTTTTTGTAAAGGAAGTAGAACAGACAGTGCTTGACAACTGGAGGCAAAACGTGGGAAAATAAACTACCAAGCGCCCAGATTCTGGGAAAAGAACAAAACTGTATGCTTGTATGTGAACATAAAATGCATTTTCAGCTCTAAAATAGTTTGAGCTAGGTATAGGGTCACAAACCTATAATCACAAGTTTTGAGTCCAGCCTTGGCAGTTGCAAGACCCTGTCTCAGAATAAAGAAACTAAAACTAGGGTGTCTAGGAATGCACATCTATAGATACTTGTGAATATTATTACTGTCTGCTCTAAGCAAGATGATGCTTTTCTTATGGGAAAAGGAAGATAGTTATGATTGGGCCAGAACCATGGAAGGACTCTGTAGTGGCCAGCAAAGTTCTGTTTCTTAAAGAGAATTATTTCTTGACCTAGGTGGTTCTTAGAATAATTCATTAAGCTTTACATTTAATTCATTTGGTTTTCTTTGTGTGCATTTTATTTTGTAATAAAAATATACATTTTGAAATAAATAAGTAAAAATGGCCAGGAGTGGTGGCACATGCCTATAATCCCAGCAACTGGAGAGGCTGAAGCATGAGGACTCAAATTCAAGACCAGCCTCAGCAACTTAGCTAGGCCCTAAGCAACTTAGGGATACCCTGTCTGAAACTAAAACAATAAAAAGGATTGGGGTATAGTTCAGTGGCCCTGGATTCAATTCCCAGTACCAAATAAATTAAAAAAGCAAAAATCAAAGACAAAAAATGGTTAGTGGAGAGAATCAACAGGCTAATAGAAAGACTTATCTTCTCCCACAACCCATATTCCAGAGTTAAGCAGACAGGACTGTGATGAGCCTGGTTTCCCTCTAAAACAGATTCTTAGGGAGCTACATTGAACTAAATCCCATAACCCTTCCAAAAGCCAAATGTATTTACTGTAACTATATCAACATTAACAGAATATTGCTACCTATTTCTTTTGTTATCATTGTTGATAGTTGGCTTTGATATGCATGTATTTGTGTGTGTGTGTGCGCACATGCACACACACGCACACACTTCATTTTTTCCTTCCACCTTAATTAATCTGTATCTTCTTATTTCTTCCAGAATGGATTTTTGTCTGCATTGCCTTATTTTGGTTGTTGGTTATGTATGATTCTGTCTGGTCAAGCTGCTGACAATTTAAGGGCAAAGTGGAATGTTTCAACTATATGTGTTCGCAGAATTTTTACCCTTATTGGTGAGTGAAGTGAATCAAGTTTTGTTTGGGGTTACAGAGAGTTCTTTTTTTTCTTAATTTTATTTATTTTTATGTGATGCTGAGGATTGAACTCAGTGCCTCACACGAGCTAGGCGAGCATTCTACCACTGAGCCACAACCCCAGCCCTGTTTGGGGTTACAGTTATTGAAATGGGGGGCCAGTGAGAATAAAGTATTTTTCTACTCTCACACATAATTAACCCAATATTCCACACCAAAACATTTTACCTCTGGTCACCAATATGTGTGTGGGGATTTCTCGCACACAGCCAGTTCCTGCAGTGGATACCAGCTGAGTGTTCTGTATTTCAATTCCAACACTACCTACCTATGTATACTGTAGGTCCCACAAGTTGAGAGATAAGTCCAATAAGACCACACACACACACACACACTTCAGATGCCAATCTCAAGTCATTTATATATTCATATATATATATAAATTTTTTTTGTACTGGGGATTGAACCCAGGATGCTTTGCCACTGAGCTACATCCTAGCCCTTTTTATTTATTTATTTATTTATTAAGACAGGGTCTCACTAAGTTGTTAGGGCCTCACTAAATTGCTGAGGCTGGCTGTGAACTCATGATCCTCCTGAGCCACTGGGATTATAGGCATGGACCATTGCACACAGCTTGTACACTGTACTTTTGAGTAACCAGCTATAAATTGGTATTCCCATGACCCCATGTTAAGTTCAATTAACTTCCTAGAGCAGCCCACAGAACTCAGTTACTAACACTACTTATGTTTACTTGTTTATTATAAAGGCTATTGCAAAGCCAATAGTTGAATGGCCAGATGGAAGAGCGGCTGAGGGCAAGGTATGTGGAAAGGGGCAATGAGATTCCATGCCCTTTTCAGGAGCACTACCTTCTAGGAACCTTCATATTTTCTGCTTTTTGGAAGCTTATCGGAGCCTTGTCCTTTTGAACTCTTATGTAGGCTTCATAATGCAGACATGGTTGAGTAAAATAATTGGACATTGATGATCAACTCTCGTTAGGCCCCCTTCCCCCCCAAATATTGGAGGCAGCTAGAGCTAAAAGTCCCAATCTTCTAATCATGCCCTGGTCTTTCTGGTCACCAGCCCCCATCCAGAAGCAACAGGCACTAGTCCCAGTAGCACCAGTCATCTTATTAGCAAACAAAAGACAATCTTATCACTCCAGAATTCTTAGGAGCTATGTGCAGAGACCAAATATATATTTCTTCTTATAATATCAAAACAATACAAGGCAAAATAAAAACAATAATCTGTCATTTATTTTGTTCACATATTAAAACACTCTGATGCATTTAGTGCATTTAGTACATGATGGGTTTTTTTGAACCATTTTAAGGATTAAGATTTATAATTTCTGTTGACTCTGTCATAGTTCATGGTCATAAAAAATGACTTATTTTGCTAAACATCATCTCCAGGATTTTATAATCACTTTGTTTCATCTATAATTGGCAATGAAAATAGTTTTTCTAAGTAAATGCACTTTCAATTTCAAAATATTTACTAATATCATTATAACAAATGAATTCTAAATCAAAGATCTCCAAGGAATCTTAAGTACTCATGTGTTTGAGACTCTTTTCAGAAAGTTGAATTTTAGAACTATCTGAGAGAGTTATTTATCTTTTTAAAGGTCTGTAGTAATTAGAGACCCTGAAAGTTATTGATGGCTMTACTTCAGTAATTACATTGTGAAAGGATCCTATTTATATTAATTCTGCAAACATCTGCCATCTAACCACTAGAACATGCTGTCTTGTTCCACTGCTTACTTCCTTTGACTCCATATCTACAAATGACATAAATCCCTTGGATTTAACCTGATTTCTCTTTTTTAGTTTTCTATGGATGAACCTGCTCCATTCTATACAATACAATAGCTACTAGCCATTTACAGTAGCCACTAGCCATTTAAATTTAAGGGGGCTGTTTAAATTTAATTGAAATTTTAAAATAAGTTCCTCAGTTGTAGTATATACAAATGCAACATTTTCATTATCACAGAGTTACTACATAGCATTGTTGTAGACACAAAAAAACTGACAATCACTATTTGTACTTTATGCCTAGTTGCCTGTAATGACCTATACATAACAGATTTTACTTATTAAAAACAGAGATTTTTCTAACTTTATGCAATACAATTTATTATTTAATTTATCTTCTTTTGTTATTCTAATTTTAAGTCATCATACTCTTGTTAAATATGGCTTCTCTCTGCACTCATACTTTTCAGTCATTCTCTTTTTTATCTTTTTTTTTAACTCTGTAGTCCTTTAGCCGAGTTCTGATCACATGCAGATTGTATAATGAGATTTTGGTTAACCTCATTATGGTTAACTATTGTATTAGTTGTATTATGCCCATATGTTTTTTCTTTTCTTTCTTTTTTTTTTTTCAGTGCTATGGATTGAACCCAGGCMCTCATGCATGCTTCTAGTGCTGTATCACTGAGCTGCATCCCCAGCTCTGCTCATAGTTTTCTAACAGTTTTGGAGTTTTGTTCTTTGATGAAACTCATACATCACTCATGTGTTATAAGCAATTCAATGTTTCTACATTAGGTGGCAGCAGTGTCGAATTTCAGATTTACACTATTTTAAGGTAGAGCAAATATTAATGCGGGAGCTTTTTCTTTTATAACTTTTTAACTCCAGGAATGATTGGACCTGCAGTATTCCTGGTAGCTGCTGGATTTATAGGCTGTGATTATTCTTTGGCTGTTGCATTCTTAACTATATCAACAACACTGGGAGGCTTTTGCTCTTCTGGATTTAGCATCAACCATCTGGATATTGCACCTTCGTGAGTACAAGTATAAAGAGTTGCTGTGATTGACTTTAAATTCTTTTTTTAAATCATGGTAAAACATAAATAACATAAGATTTACCGTTGTAAGCCAGGCATGGTGGCACACGTCTGTAATCCTATCGGCTCAGGAAGCTGAGGCAAGAGGATCACAAGTTCAAAGCCAACTTCAGCAATTTAGCAAGGCACTAAGCAAATAAATGAGACCCTGTCTMTAAATAAAATGCAAAAATGGTCTGGGGGGGGTTTTCTTAGTGGTTAAGTGCCCCTGGGTTCAATCAGGGGCTATGCAGTTGTTTTTAAATTTAAACTTTTAACTACCATCACCTCTGTCCACAGATAAATGTTTGTTATTTATTGAGTGTACATGTAGATGAAATATGAGCTCAAGAAGCTTAAAATAATAGGGAGGGTCTGGGGTTGTGGCTCAGTATAGAGCACTTGCCTAGCAAGTGCAAGGCCCTGGGTTCAATCCTCAACACCACATAAAAATAAATAAATAAAATAAAGGTATTGTATCCAACTAAATAAATAGATAGATAACAATGAAGGAAAAGAATATTTGGAAAGCAAAGTAATTTCAAGGCAACTTTGCTAAATTTAGTGATATATGAAAAATCAGATAATTTGAAATAATAAACAAACCTTCAAGTTAAGGACTAAAGGCACAAGAAGCCACCTCTATAGGAGAAAGGGCAGATAGATGTCTACTTTCCTAATGTGGATGCACAGTGACTAAGGGCATGTATTTGAAATTTATAAAAAAGGAACTAAACCTAATTACCCAAAATGGATTCAAGGAAATAGTAAATAAAGAATTGAAATAGGTTCTTTTATGCTACTAAGTCAAAGAAACAAATCTTGAAAATATTTCTCTTAAACAAATTATACTGTTCAGTTATGTAGCTTTTAGAATTATGGAAAGTTAGAACCAGGAGGATATAGAGTAATCTCATCCTATTAGTCTTGTCCATGGACCAGAGTCCTCAACATCACCTGAGAACTCAGAAGAAATGTAGAATCTCAGGCCCCAACATGGACCTACTGAACTAGAATCCATACTTCCAGGTATGGTGGCATATACCTATAATTCCAGCTGCTCAGGAGGCTGAGGCAAGATGATTACAAGTCCAGGGCCAACCTAGGAAACTTAGTCAGACCCTGTCTCAAAATCAAAAACATAAAGGGAGAAGGATATAACTCAGTGGTAGACTTAAGACTTAAAATCAGGTCTTCTAGCTCCAGAGTCCAAGGATCTTTCAAGTTGCCTCTCACTTACAGTTGTCCCTCAATATCTACAAGGGATTGGTTCCAGGTCTCCCATGGCAACTAAGATCCAAGGAAGTTCAAATTTCTTATATAGAGCTGGGCATAATGGTGCATGCCTCTAATCCCAGTTGCTTCAGAGGCTGAGGTAGGAGGACGAAAGTTTAAGCCAGCCTCAGCAATTTAGTGAGAGTCTAAGCAACTTARTGAGACCCTGTCTCAAAAAATATAAAAGAAGAGGACTAGGGATGTGGTTCACCGGTTAAGTGCCCCTGGGTTCAATCCCCCGGACCAAAAAACTAAAATAAAGAATCCCTTATATAGGGCTGGGGTTGTGGCTCAGCAGTAGAGCGCTCACCTAGCATGTGCAAGGCCCTGGGTTCAATCCTCAGCACCACATAAAAGTAAATAAATGAAATAAAGGTATTGTGTCCAACTACAACTAAAACAACAATATTTTAAAAAATTTTAAAAAACTGCATAGTATTTGCATATAACCTACACCCTCCCATATACTTTAAATCATCTCTAGATAACTTATCATACTTAATATAATGTAAATGCTACGTAATTGCTTTAATACTGTATTATTTAGGGAATAATGACAAGAAAAAATGTACATGTTCAGAATTTTTAAAAATATTTTTGAGGGGKKGGGGKTGKGGSTCASCMAKAGRGTGCTCACCAGATACGTGCAAGGCGCTGGGTTCAATCCTCAGCACCACATAAAAATAAATAAATAAAGGTATTGTGTCCAACTACAACTAAAATTAAATTAAATTTAAAAAGCCTAAAGGGTGCTTGAGTCCAGTTTGGACAAAAATTAAAGAAAATAACCAGTCACAGACTTGTTGAAGCATAATTTGGTAATTCTTCCTCAAGGAAAATCTGGGAAGCATCACTAAAAACTTTTAAAATACACATACAAATAAACTAATTCTAAAAATTTCTCCTGAATAATCCATCAGAAAGAGCAAAAAACATAATTTTTTTTTTTTTTTAAGAATTTTTAATATTTATTTATTTTTTTTTTAGTTCTCGGCGGACACAACATCTTTGTTGGTATGTGGTGCTGAGGATCGAACCCGGGTCGCACGCATACCAGGCGAGCGCTCTACCGCTTGAGCCACATCCCCAGCCCATAACATAAATATTTTTGATTTGTGTTTGGTTGAATCTACAGATGGGAAAATCTTAAAGAACTGGTTGTTTAGAGATCCTCGTAGTTGTTTTGAAAACTCAGGGGAAAGAACTCATTGCAGAGACACATACATGGTTGCTTCAGTTGATGTAAGTGTATCATAAAACTAAGTAAATAAATATAAGAAGTAAAAATTATAGAGAATATAAAGTTACTTCAGCAGCCACCCAGCCTGAAGGAAGGTAATAATTGACCTACTCTATTTCATGGAGCAGAAGTATAGTTTAGGATTCATCAGGTTCCTAAAGTCTATCCAAAATTCTAGAATCAGGTGAAACCCTGCTCTCTTGAACTAGAAATGAAAGAAAATCAGATCATCAAATAAAAATTAGAGCTATTGTCAAAAGAAAATGGAAGTGGATGCCAGAGAAGAAAAAAATATCCAAGTTACTTACCCTATAGGATAGGATTTTGAACAGTTATTGCCACAGAATTCTAGTACTCCAACAGCACAGAATCCAGACTGAGTTCATACAACAATGTTCTCTTCCAAGCAGTCATCAATCTTTCATGGCCCTTCCTGGCCAAGTGTAATATAAATACTTGAATGAGCTTCTTGGTGCTGACATTTAGAATTTCACAGCATTCATCTGCACTTAATATCTGTCACCAAAAAGACCTGGCAACATCACACATTCCTCCTACTGCCAAGGTGCTAATAGTTTTTTTTAAAAAAGAGAGAAGGAGACAGGGCCTGCCAAGCTTGGTTAATTTAAGATCCCTAAAGGGGATAAGCCAAAAAAATCTGTGCCTCGTAGTTTTGTTATTGTATTATGTATGGATATATGGTTTTTTTAAAAAAAAATCGTGATGTGTACAGATAACTGAATTTGGTTCAGTAGGAATCTTTTTTTGTCCTAGAAATTGAACCAAGGGTCATTCTACCATTGAGTCCCATCCTCAGCCATTTTATTTCTTATTTTGTGACAGGGTTGCCAAGTTACTAAGGCTGGCCTTGAACTTGTGATCCTCTTACATCAGCTTCCCAAGTTGCTGGGATTACAGGCATGCACCACCATGCCTGGCTAGGATTTTTTAATTTAGGCACCTTCCCATTCAAAATGTGGAAAGGGATTTCAGATAATAGTCTGTAGCCTAGGTATTGAAGATCCAAATCCCTAATAGAAATTGCTTTATCCCACAATAAGACTACACTTCCCTAGCATGTATGAGGCATTGGGTTCGATCCCTAGCACCACATAAAATAAAGGTATTGTGTCCATCTACAACTAAAAAAAAAATATTTTTAAAAAAGGACTATATGAGTGAATAAAACAACAAACTACTTTCAACCAAAATTTTATTTTATAATAACACTTATTCTTTCAAAAGAAATTGAAAGCTGTGATTAGACTTTGTATATGTCTAGGTAACCATTATGAAAAATAAATTAATAAATGCCATTTATGTGCTTAAGTACTTTTTTTATATACCTTTGTTTTATTTATCTATTTTATGTGTGCTGAGAATCAAACCCAGTGCCTCATATGTACTAAGCAAGCGTTCTACCATTGAGCTACAACCCCAACCCCTTAAGTAACTTTTTTAACCAAACTCCTCTATCACTTTGCCAGAATATCAAACCTAAATCTAATGAGTCCTCTAGCATCTACAGGGCTACATCCCTCCAGTGTGCTGAAACACAGGGGACATAAAAAAATCATGTTAAATGTTGCACACCTATAATCCCAGTAACTCTGGAGGCTGAGGCAGGAGGATCACAAGTTCAAAGCCAGCCTCAGTAATTTATCGAGGCACTAAGCAACTCAGTGAGACCCTGTCTCTAAATTAAATACAAAAAGGAAAAAAAAATAATTAATTAATTAATTACAAAAAAGGGTTGGGGATGTGGCTCAGTGGTTGAGTGCCTCTGAATTCAATCCCCAATATCAAAATAAAAGGGGAGGGGATTATGTTAAATGATACTTCAGGGATGTAACCTATAAAATCCAAAATTTAGGAATATGTACAAGACAAACATCTCAGTATCTTCAATCAAAAAAAGACAGCAAGTCAGGAATGGTGCACATCAATAATCCCAGCTACTTGGGAGGCTACAGCAGGAAGATCACAAGTTCAAGCCCAGAGCAAGACCCTGTCTCAAAATAAAAAATTAAAATGGACTAGAAAAGTAGTTCAGTAGTATAGCACCCCTGGTTTCAATCCCATGTACCAAAAGAGAGAGAGGGTAATGACAGCAACTTTTTTAAATGAACTAGATGATACCCACAGATTGGTTTTGTTATTGTTGTTACTTGCAGTACTGAGGATTATCCAGGTGCTCTGCCACTAAGCTACATCCTGGCCACCCTCCCCCCCCCACCTTTTTTTTTTTTTTTTTCATACGAGGGATTGAATACAGGGGAACTTAACCACTGAGAAACATCCCCAGCCCTTTTATATTTTTAATTTTGAGACAGGGTCTTCCTATGTTGCTTAGGGCCTTACTGAATTACTGAGGTTGTCTCTGAATTTGTGAACCTCCTGCCTCAGCCTCCCAAGCCACTGGAATTATAGGCATGTACCACATTCAACTCCAGCCCCTTTTATTTTTATTTTGAGACAGGGTCTTCTAGTCATATAAAATTCCTGATCAGAAATTTGCACCCATGGAGTCCATTCCCAGGGGGAAAGGAGGACTACTCTGCATGGATCAAAGCTCCCACATTCAGTGTTGTCCGGGCCCCATGACTCTGTGCTGTAGGTCACATGCCACCATTCATTAGTAACATGTATTGAATAAGCACTTGCATTGTACTGGGCACTAGATATAATTAAGGGAAATAAAGCATGAGTTTGAAGTGAGACTGGAGTCAGAATCAGCAAACTCAAATTAGGACAATTACTTTAAAACCATAAAGATATTGATATGACTGATCAGTATGAGAAGTACCAAGCAAGGGGTTAGGATGGAAGGAGTGTGGATTTTAGGTAGCATATTTATAGTATGAGCAAAAATAGATAGCAGAGATGAACATGGCAGATATGATCTGAAGGTGTGATTGTGCAGTACTAGGGATAAGGCTGTATAGATGGGCCAGGGCCAGGTCATGGTAAATCCAGGCAAAAGACTTTAATCCTCTTTTTTTTTTTTTTTTTTTTTTTTTTTTTTTGCCTTTTCTCTCTTTTGGACTGGGGATTAAACCTAGGGGTGCTCTACCATTGAGCCACATCCCCAGCCTTATTTTGTATTTTATTTAGAGACTGGGTCTCACTGAGTTGCTTAGCACCTCACTTTTGCTGAGGCTGGTTTTGAACTCATGAGCCTCCTGCCTCAGCCTCCAGAGCCACTACGATCACAGGCATGTGTCACCACACCTGGCCTGCAGTCTTCTTAAAGTAAATGTTAGACCATCCTTGTAGGTACCTGAGTAGAAGAGGAGTGACCTGACAAAATCATGACTATTCAAATTAAATTTTATACAATCTGAGAATGCTGATCAACTATATGTAAAATGTCCTTAAGAATGTTTATTCTCTGAGGTTCTATTTCTTGATTAGGTGTTAGTGACATTGTTGTCTTTGCTTTGTGAAAATTCAGCAAACTGTACACTAGTGGCTTGTGTATTTTTTCATATGTATGTTATATTGAAAAAGATTTCCTTGCCAGGTGCCATGCCACATGCCTATAATTCCAGTGGCCTGGAAGGCTGAGGCAGGAGGATCACAAATTCAAGGCCAGTCTCAGCAACTGTCTCAAAATAAAAAATAAAAAGGGCTGGGGATGTAGCTCAATGGTAGAGCACCCCCGGTTTCAATCCCTAATACCAAAAAAAAAAAATTATTAGTACACCTAATAGGGTGTGAGAGTGCTCCATTAGGACCACTGGACATATTACATGTACATATTTGTGAACTCAGATTGTTATTACATACTTGCATGAGCTCACACCTAGTAGATCTAGGTTAGAAGTGTTTAGGTTCCTAGCCCAGTGTGGTGGTGCATGCCTGCAATCCTAGTAGCTCAGGAGCCTGAGGCAGGAGGATTACAAATTCTAGGCCAGTCTCAACAATTTAGTGAGGTTCTAAGCAACTTAGCAAGACCTGTCTCAAAATTAAAAAATTAAAAGGGCTGGGATTGTGCCCCAGTGGTATAGCAACCCTGGGTTCAATCTTCAATCCCCAGTATCCCCCCAAAAAAACCTTTAGATTTCTGATAATCAGTCTAACAAGATTTCTTTATAGAAAATGATAAGTACTTCATTCTTCTTAAGATGGTACTTCCTGAATATCTTGGCCATAATAGACTTTTTTAGTTTACATACATTCCTTATATATTATAAATTGAAAAAATCAACAGGACATTACCATTTTTCAAATACAAGCAGAAATTCTTTAGATTTCTATCTAAGCCAGGTATACTGGCACACACATGTAATCGCAGCAATTTAGGGGGTTGAGGCAGAAGGATCACAAATTCAAAGCCAGCCTCAGCAACTTAGCAAGACCCTGTCTCAAAATAAAAAGGGTGGAGATTTGGCTCAGTGGTAAAGTGCCCCTGGGTTCAATCCTCAGAACCAAAAAACAGCGCCTGCAGATGTAGCTCCGTGGTGGAAAGTTGGCATAATATCAAATGAGGCCCAGAGTTTAATCCCCAGTACCAAAAAAAAAAAAAAATAGTAATAATAAGCTAGACACACAAAACTTCCTATCTAGATACAGTGATTATAGAAATCATATGTCAGCACTATTCTGCATCAGGATAAAAAGGATAATTTCACTGGTTGTATTCCTCTATGTAATGTTAGAATGTTAATTAACTATTGAAATGCAAGTTTTCCATCAGCTGAATATAAAATCCTAGTTTAGTAAATCATTTCTTTGAAACATAAAATTTCATAAGAAAGCAACCTGACAGTAGAATAGCAATCTGTTGAAAAAAGCTGCTTCAATGTGTAACATAGTAATAAACCTTTATGAAAATGTATCCCCAGGTATGCTGGTATCCTCCTGGGCATCACGAATACATTTGCCACTATTCCAGGAATGGTTGGGCCTGTCATTGCTAAAAGCCTGACCCCTGATGTAAGTAGACATTTTGCTTATAAACTGAAAAGATTTGGGAATTATGCATTTGTATCAGAGTTGAGTATATTTTAATGGTAGAGTTCTGAATGTTTATTTCATTTCTTTTCTTTGTGGTGTTAGTGATTGAACTCAGGCCTCATGTGTTCTAAGCAGGTGTTTTACCACTGATCTACAGCTCCAGCTCTTTTTTTTTTTTTTTAAAGAGAGAGTGAGTTAGAGTTTTTTAATATTTATTTTTTAGTTATTGGCAGACACAACATCTTTGTTTGTATGTGGTGCTGAGGATCGAACCGCACGCATGCCAGGCGAGCGCGCTACAGCTTGAGCCACATCCCCAGCCCCAGCTCCAGCTCTTGAATATGTATTCTTAAGAAATTCTTTATGGCAACAAAATCTATAAGCCTTAATGAATGAGAAAGTATATATTTTTAAAGGATACTCTTTGGGTTTTAGAACAGTATAACTAAGTTAAATGATAATCCTGTGGTCAAAACCACACAGTATTAAAAGCTGTGGTAGTTTACCATATAAGTAATTTATGTATAAAATAAAACAAATAAAAATTGGCAAAATAAAATGATTCAAAAAAGGGACCCATCAGGGTGAGTGAGGTGTCATGAAATAATGTGAGAATGAAGGAGGAACAGTTGAAATAGTCAACAGTGTTTGAAGGGCCAAAAGACTTGGGAAGACCTGATGGGTGTCTTCACGTATTTGAAGGGCTAGATGGTGACTTATTCTCAGTAGTTCTACAAAGACAGATGGAGAGAAGTTATAGGAGACATTAGGAAATTTTTCTGTTCAAAGCTGTTACTTTATAAAATGTGCTGCCTTATGAGTCAGTCAATAAGCCCTGAAGCAGTGGAACATTTACTCAAAAGGCATTTCTGGAGTGTTTATCAGCATTTTAGATATTAAAGATTCAAAGGCAAAATGACAAACTTCTCCTATACTTCTGAAAAACTCAACATTTACAGATTATATGTAATCATAGAGTTAAAATGCAGTTTGACAGATGCTACAGAAAAAAAAGATTGTGTGGCATGCTACTGCAAGAGAGGAGGGGAGCAGTGGGGAAGGAGCCCCTCAGGAGTAAGCCATGTGGGTGTTAAGGGTCTGACACATAGGCCTGGGCAAGGGCACCAAGTGCAGAGAGGCAAGTGGGCCAGGGTTGGTTAGGTCTTAAAGCTGGAGGGCAGCATGAGGCCAGTTCAGTCAACAGAGCCTTTTGAAACATTACTCTTTCCAATCCTACTTTCTAAAGTTTAAACGTATCTCAAGCCAAGCACGGTGGCATATGCCTATAATCCCAGTATTTTGGGAATTCAAAGTCAGTCTCAGCAATTTAGCAAGGTGCTGAGCAACTCAGTGAGACCCTATCTCTACATAAAATATAAAAAAGGGCTGGCAGGCTGGGGTTGTGCTCAGAGGTAGAGCGCTCACCTAGCATGTGTAAGGCACTGGGTTCTATCCTTAGCACCAAGTAAAAAATAAATAAATAAAGGTACTGTGTCCAACTACAAGTAAAAAGTATTTAAAGGGGGGCACGTGGGAGGTGGGGGCTGGAGATGTGGCCCAATGGTTGAATGCCACAGGGTTCAATCCCTGATACCAAAAAAAAAAAAAAAAAAAGTTTCTTAAGGCTGGTGGAATAAGTTCTTCAATAGGCTAACTTAAACCTCTCAAGAAAACCTAACTTTCTGTTTGGCTTTATGATCCAGTCAATATCATATCTAATTTGTTGAATTTCAGTACATAAAACCTTCTTACCAAATATCTTGATTTCAGACACATATGTGTTCACCACTGTTCTCCACTCTTCACCATTTCTCATTCCTTACTTAAGTGAATTGGTGCCTCACATCACTATTTCCTCTCAATAAAAAGGAATGTTGCATGTTGCAGTAGTTTTTTCTAAAGTTCTGTGTCTCAATATGGACATGCCAGAACTGTTTTATGTTGTCTTCTTAGAGCAATATGGCAACCTAAGAACTTAGATCTACACACTACCATGTTTTAGTTATCAATGTATAATACCATGTATTATAGTTGATAATTCTAGCACTTCTGCTAGAGAAATATGGATTCCTGAACTGAAATCCTGAGTGTTTGTAAAGTAGGAACTGAGCTGGATTTTGAAGATGATATAGCTGGATGTAGTGGCACACACTATATGGTATCAGCTCCTTGGGAGACTGAGGCAGGGGATTAATTGAGCTCAGGAGTTCAAGATCCATAAAATAAAACACACATCTGTAACCTCAGCAACTCATGAGGCTGGGGCAGGAGGATTGCAAATACCAGGCCAGCAAGAAGGACTCTGTCTCAAAATGAAAAAGGGCTGAGGATGTAGCTCAGTGCAGAGCACCCTGGGTTCAATCCCCAGTACAGGAAAAGAAAAAAAAATGAGATTTCTGGTACAGTTGATTGATTTTAAATCACAAATCAGGGTAGCCCACATAAAGATTTGTCTTAGGTAATCCTAAGAAACTATCTTAAATATTTCTTTCTGGTACAAGATATAATTATTGACTAGATTCTCCCCTAGAATGCTGACACATCATTAGCGTATCTAAATTTTAGTACTAAAATTAGTTGCTAAATTTTAGTTACTGAGTTTAGTTGCTAAAATTTATGATGTATTTCTAAAATTTTTTACCTCACACAAGTATAATAGCCACAGGTAGCTCCTTTCTTTCTCCATGTTTCTCCTTTTTTCCTAAATAAAATGACTTCCATAGTGCCTTACCTTTTCTTCCACATTGCCAGTACTACTATTTAGTTTTTGTTTGTTACAATGCTGCAAAGTAGCACTCTGGTTAGATTAAAATTATGAAAATTTTATAATTGGTTGTTAAAGGTAGTCCTATAACCCAGAAAGTTATGTAACTTTGATGTTTTTATACTACTTTTTAGGTTATACATTGAACAATTGTTGATTTCTTGTAGACAAATCCCATGCATGCCCTACTTTGTGCCAGTCAAAACTTTTTACACTGGTTGGACCTCCCTGCAACATCCCAAATCCTCAAACCTGAACTTCAGAGTCCTTCTGAACTTATGATAAGAAGGACTTGATTGATCCACTTGATTGATCCACCAGACACCTCCCACCTAAGAATTTGGGAGATGAACGCAGAATATAACTTGCCTAATAACACATGATTCAAGAGCATGCCATATAAGCTTTTTTAATTTTTTTATTGAAGTATAACATGTATTTTTAAAATACACAAGTCATAATTATACAGCTGAACCAATATTCAAAACATTAACATATCTGTGTAGCCATTCCCCAATCAATAAATAGATCATTGATCCCTCAGCAAGGGAATTTTGCCTCTTTGATATTCCTGCCACTCCTCCCTCACCCCTTCAAGAGGAACTATTCCTGACTTTTAACCATAAATTAGTTTTGTCTGATTTTTAGCTTTATATAAATGGAATCACTTCATATATACTCTGTCTTCTTTTGCTTAACACTTTGTGAAATGTATCCATATTGTAGCTCATTCATTCTCATTGCTATATAATATTTCATTGAACTTACACACCACAGTCCTACTGCTGATGAACATTTGAGCTATTTCAAGCATATCTTTGATGAATAATGTTGCTGTCATAACAATTTTGTGATACAACCTTTTTTATAAACTGGACACAAAATTTTTTCATTTCATTTTTTTCTTTTTTTCTCTATAGAACACTGTTAGAGAATGGCAAATTGTTTTTTGTATCGCTGCTGCTATTAATGTATTTGGTGCCATTTTCTTTGTACTATTGGCCAAAGGCGAAGTGCAGAAGTGGGCTGTCAGTGATTACCATGGACACAAAAACTGAAGAAAACAATAAATAATCCTCTTTCTATWAATGTACTTTTATTTATCATGTAACCTGAAAAGTGCCTTTGATATTTTAATGTGTAAGCATTCTATATATTAAAAAATGTACTTGTATTAAATTTTAAGGCTTGTAATCATGAAGTGTCACTAGTTGCCAGATTAGGAAAATTTGCTCTTTTTAATAATTAATATATATGCAGGACTTTAAACTTTAGGTTCAGATACCTGGCTGCAAGTCAGGTGACATGAAATAGGAGAACTCTATTTATTGTTAAGGGCCACATTTAAGGGAATGAAATGAAATAAACCCTCTTATACTGCTTATCAAGCTAGATAATAACCTCAGGTTTTGGTAAACACCTGTTTTTGTTCACTTTTCTCATGAAAACTATTTGTTATTAGCTCTCTGTGACACTTAGTCTCAAACTTCAGCATCTCCATAGAGCTGCTAGCCACTGTATAATTATGCCTGGCACCTAAATTGAGCAAAGCATGCCCAGGCAGCTGCCAAGCATTCTCTCCCTGGCGTCAGGGACAGAGTGCCCAGCATTTATCAGAGGCAGCACCCAAGTCAGAGCCAATGCCAAAGTCTTTGTATGGTGTTCTCCTTCTGGGGCTATTAATGTGTATATGAAGCCCTGAATAGACAAGAGCAGTGAGATCCACAATTATGGTCTTGATGCAGTCTCAAACTTCCCCTTCCCAACACTTTGGACTATCTACTCTCATGGAATCTGGAAAAAAAAAATGAGATGCCCAATCTATCCCACAAATAATAGCATCCTTTACTAAAACTAATTTCATGTGAATTAGAGTATAAATTCTGAAATTATTTTTTTAACTACATTAAAATAAGACAAAAAAATTTTAAATCTCTTTTTCTTCAGCTGGCTTCATGTAAGCTTCTGGTTACAGTTTAAAGTGACTTTTAGGGCTGGGAATATAGCTCAGTGGTAGAGTGCTTGCCTAGTACTCATAAGACCCTGGGTTTAATTTCCAGCACCATAAAAATAAATAAGTGAAAGTGGCTTTTTAAAGACCACAGGGCCTGTGGCCTATGGAATCATCTGTACTGTTTGTTCCTGAAATCTTATTTTTCCTGATTCATCTATGGTGGTTATTGAGCATACTCTGAGGGCATTTATGTTTAAAATTTGGTTTATGTTTTGTTTATGATTACCTGTAATGTTTTAACTGAAAATGTTTAATGTAAGATGATGTGAATATATTTATGTAAATTAATTTTTAATGTGTAAATATAAATTAAGTTGCTATGGTGATATTTCTTTTATAAATCATCAAAATAAACCTTTTTGATTTTTCAATCTGACAGTTCCATGGTATTTTCTCATGTCCACAGTGACTATTTTTATATCTTCTCTGTATTCTCCTGAAGCAATCCATCTACTTCAAAATGCATCTCTACCACCACCAAACTGAGGAAACAGACCATCAAAGTGATACAGCATCGGAAATCTTTATTGCCATCCATCTTCCCTTCATAGTTCTAAAAGGGTCCACCCTGCTTTTTATTTATTTTTTTTTTAGTTTATTTATTATTACTATTAAGTGTGTGTGTGTGTGTGTGTGTGTGTGTGTGTGTGTGTGTGTGAGTGGTGCTGGGGATTGAACCAGGGCTTTGTGCATGTGAGGAAAGCACTCTACCAACTGAGCTATATTCCCAGCCCCGCACTCTGCTTTTTAAAGTACATAAGGACATCACTGATTCTGTCTCCTCCTACCTCCTCTAAGAACTTGCTTCAGTAATTCTTCTAATTTGCTTCTTCCATCTGTTTCTCTGACCCTTTCCCTTCTTTCTCAAAGATACACAAGTCTTCTCTAGCCTTTAAACAAGTATACAAAAATCTCCCAGGGACATAAAAAGCATATGTATCCATAATATCTCTAGAATAATACTCAAGAAACTGGAATTAGTGGTTACCTCTGGGGTGAGAAAACAGGCCACCAGGAATAAGAAGGGGAATTAATTTTTACTTTACCAAATGCAGCAGTATTATCTATTCAAATACATTATTTTAAAGCAAAACACCACCAGGCATAATGGTGCATACCTATAATCCTGGCAATTCTGGGAGACTGAGGCAAGAGGATGGCAAATTCAAGGCCAGCCTGAGCAACTTAGGGAGACCCTGTCTCAAAAAATAAAAAGGAGGCTGATTTCAGTGGCACATGCCTGTAATCCTAGCAGCACGAGGCTGAGGCAGGAGAATCAAAAGTTCAAAGCCAGCCTTAGCAATGTAGTGAGGCTCTGTCCCAAAATAAATAAATAAATAGATAAAAAGGAAGGAAGGAAAGGAGAGAGAGAGGGAGGGAGGGAGGAAGGAAGGAAGGAAGGAGGGGGAATGTGACTCGTGGTTAAGTGCTTCTGTTTTAAATCCCCAATACTGAAAAAAAAACAAAAGGGGGGGGGGCTAGGTACATAGCTCAGTTGTATAGGGGTTCTGGGTTCAATCCCCAGTCCCACCAAATAAATAATAAATAAAATTACCTTTTGCTCAAACTKCTGTATAATATCACCAGGTTTTCAGCTACCTACTAGACATCCCCAACTGGCTATCCCTTTTGCAACTGAAAGTTCAACCTCACTCCCCTCACCTCCTCAAAACCAGCTATACCTGCCACCTTCCTTATTCCTGTTAAGATTTCCCCAGTCATGTAGGCTTGCACCTGGAATCATGTTTTGTTCTTTCCTGGACTCCCATCCCCAACCACACATCTAATCAACTGCCTATCTTTTTTTTTCAATAACAGTTTTTTTATGTCTATAGAATTTTTTTTTTAATCCTTCTGCTATCTCCTAAAAAATAGAGGCTTGTAGCTTTTGTTTCCCCCTGGAGTAGGAAAGACAAATGGTCCCAGTGCCCTGCATGGTGGTGCACACCTGCAATACCAGCAACTCCAAAGGCCGAGGCAGAAGGATCCCAAGTTCAAGGTCCTAATCAACTTAGCAAAACCCTGTCTTAAAATAAAAAGGGCTTGGAATGTGGTTCAGGAGTTTATCCTTTGGTCCTAGAAGGTTGCTCTTCAATTCCACCTCCTTCATGACCCCGGATTTTTCCCACCCTCCCTGATGGAGAGACAATCTCTTCCTTTGATCCATTAAAACACTATATTATTTATTGTTTGGGGTTCTTTAGGTTTGGCTCAAGGATTTAAGCTCAGTTATGAGGAAGAGATAAATTATTCATTTAACAAATATTAAGTATTTCCTCTTTTTGCTAATTAATAATGATAATACCAATAGGCCATTGATGTGCCATTGTTTTCCCTCCCTGGGGCTCAGTCTGGTTCCTGATCACCTTTCTCCTCCTTTCTCATACTTAAGAACACATGTCTGTGTCCTGTTAGATTCTTCACAAACATTTTTTTTTTTTTAAATACCAGAGATTGAACACAGGGGCACTTCCACTGAGCCACATCCCCAGCCATTTTTATTTATTTTGAGACAGGGTCTTTCTAAGTTGCTTAGGGCCTCACTTAGTTGTTGAGGCTGGCTTTGAACTGGGGATCGTCCTCCCTCAGCATCTCTCCTGAGCCACTGGGATTACAGGCATGTGCCGCTGAACCCAGCTCCTTCACAAGCATCTTAAGGGCAAGCTCCATTTGATTCTCACACAATGGCCTCCCTCACAACATGTGCTTAGTCAGTTTTAGGTGTTCAATAAATATTTTGTAAGGAACTGTTTAAATGAACTATAAATTAAAAGTTTTTATTTCACATTGTTTTTTCTTTTTCTTTTTTTGATACTGGGGATTGAACCCAGGGGTACTTTACCACTGTGATACATACCCAAACTTTTTTTTTTTTTTTTTTTTTGTACCAAGGATAGAACTCAGGGGCACTCAACCACTGGCCACATCCCCAGCCATATTTTGTATTTTATTTAGAGATAGGGTCCACTGAGTTGCTTAGCTCCTCGCCATTGCTGAGGCTGGCTTTGAACTCACAATCCTCCTGTCTCAGGCTCCTGAGCTGCTGAGATTACAGGTGCGCCACCACACCCAGCCCCTTTTTATTTTTTATTTGGATATAGGGCCTTCACAATTTATGAGGCCTGAGGCAGGAGGATCCCAAGTTAAGCAATTAAGCAAAACTTTGTCTCAAAMAAGAAAGGGGGAGAGAGTTGGGAATGCAGGTCAATGGTAAAGTACCCCTGGGTTCAATCCCTAGTACCAAAAGGGTGGGGTGGGGCTGGGATAAATGTGACCTTAACTTTTTTTTTTTAAGTTGGAGACAGACACAATACCATTATTATATTTTTATATGGTGCTAAAGATCAAACCCAATGCCCCAAATGTGCTAGGCAGGTATCTTACCACTGAGGCACAACCCCAGCCTACAACCTTAACTCTTATCAAKAAGAAATGGTGCCTTATAGTGAACATATGTAAACCTCAAAATAAGTTATAAGGGCGCTGGGGTTGTGACTTAGCAGTAGAGCGCTCACCTAGCACATGCAAGGCACTGGGCTTGATCTTCAGCACCACATAAAAATAAATAAAGGTATAAAAAATGRCAAAAAAATAAGTTATAAGAAGCAATTATTTGTAAATGACTTCAAAAGTATTTGAGAATAGCTAAATTCTGTATAGGCAAAACACTTCTTCCATTTACTTAAATATTTATTACGCATTCACTAGGTGCCAGGTATTGTTCTTTACACAGGGATAAGGTAGTGGTGGGCGCAGGGGGATACCCCTTTTCTCATAGGGTTCACATTCTTATTTATCAAACCTTTTTCTGCTTCATAAGTTCCAGTCTTTAAAAACTTCCATGCAAAACTTCACCCAACAATCAAATCCTGTGGGAATGAGTATGCCAACTGACCTTGAAAATCAGTTTTATAAAAGAGATGGGGGTGGCACACACCTGTAATCCCAGCAGCTTGGGAGGCTGAGGCAAGAGGATGGCAAGTTCAAAGCCTGCCTCAGCAAAAATGAGGCACTAAGCAACTCAGTGAGACCCTGTCTCAAAATAAAATACAAAATAGGGCTAGGGATGTGGCTCAGTGATCTCAAGTGCCCCTGAGTTCAATTCCTGGTACCAAAAAAAAAAAAAAAAATTAAGACAAATGCTAAAATCAGTCACTATAATGTCATTCTTACTTCAGTATTTGTTTCATTTTTAAAGAAAGCAGAGAATTTTGCTTGAATTTGTGTTTGGCTCCTGTTGCAAAGTGGATTGCCTAGCCTCCTCTCTAAGGGTGGCACATTACTGTTCAAAATAAAATTGCCCCAAACAGAAATATTTATGTAGTATTTAAGTTTGAAGACAGGAAGAGCACCAGGAAATGGCCTGGTTCCTCTCAGTAAAAGCATGTTACTGCCTCAGATAAATAAACATGGGTAAATATGTAATTTCTATTTAAAAATAATAATAATAATAATTTTCTTGTAGAAATATAAATTAAGATAGATTACAAAATCTTTTCGGATGCCTCTGCTTTTTAGAGCAACCATAGTAGAAAAGCCAAACATAAAAGTTCTTACTGATAAAGGATAATAGAGAAAATTGTTTCCAAGAGTTCTGCAACAGAAAGCTAAGTCTAAGCAAAACTGAAAAAAAAAAAAAAAAGAAAGAAAGAAAGAAAGAAAGGTAATAAATTTTCTGTCCTCTCTTCTCATGTGCCTTCAGGAGGAAGAACACTAGTAATTTTCCAGAGTGCCTGTTTACTTTCACTTTATCTTGATGTTGGGGGAGGAGGAAACAGAAGTTCCTAGTCACTGCCAGTCGTGTGCTGATAATGGAGTAGCCATTATTGCCCTACTGAGCTGAAAAAGCGCTTGAACTCTCTCTCCCCGCCAGCCACATCCTCAGCCAAAATAGTCTAGACTTTCATGAGGACAAGGGGAGATATAGATATAGATATATAGGTATTATTAAATATACATATACAGCATGAAATCTTTTTTCTTAACCACTCTTGCTGGCTGAACAACTGAAATATGCTCGTATTTTCGACTGTGCCGTCACCTCTCAGGATCAACTGTGCATATTGGTCCCAGTCTTCTTTCAGCATACCACAAATAGCTCCTTGTTGTAAGCATTTTACAGTTTCCCTCCACAGTCTGAAACTTTAGCTTTCCACAGCAATCTGGTTGAGATTGAAAGCAATGTGGGAAGGGTAAATAGTCTGGTCTTTTTAATGCTCAAGGACTGTTTTGTGTGAAGTATTGTGATGTTGTTAGAGTCTGTATATTGTATAAATCACCCATACAATACCTACTATAATGCACTTGG